ACTTTTATTAAAAAAAAAAAAAAAAAAAACACTCTACTTTGCCTTTTAAGGTCAGCAAAAAGTTCAAGGTGGCATAATAAGACGTGATGTACTGCTGTAATTCAGTACGTCTCTAGGCAAACAGGTCCATCATAGCTCAATAAAATGCAATCCATTAAAGATCTGAGTAAAATGACTTTTTATCCAGATGTCATCGCTGAAATGGTGATGGCTGAGAGAAAGACAAGTGGCATAATTTACAGGCCATTTTATGTTTGACGTTGCTGTAATTCTTACAGTTTACTGAAAGATTTTGTTCATGACAAGGGAAGTGTCATATCCATGTCTTTAGAAAACTCCTGAGGAAACACATAATGGGAATTAAATTAAGATGTTAAAGTCAAACATTGTTCATTTACCACAACAGCTCTTGAACAAATGAAGTCTTGGCCTTGACATGTTCTTTTGAAAGTGCCGATCTCAATTTCAACATGTCTAAGGCACAATGCTGGGTGTAATTACTCCAGTGTGACATAACACATCAAAGGTTTTAGTTTAATTTGATTTTAGCTGTAGGGGTTACTATGGTCCCAAGGAAGCTTTGTATATAATAGTGATTTTTGTAATGCATATGACAATGATATATTGGTATTGTATTTGTTTATCAGATACTTGAGATTTGTTAAAGTATCAGTCTATATTGGAATTAATTATACATTCTCATTTCCACCTGTTTTTATATTATTATATTTTTTTAAACTGAAAATAATACAAAGATTGGAGTATATTTTACAAGAAAATACTAAGTATTTCTACCTCAAAATTATTTACATTTAATTAAATCTATTACATGCTGTTTTTCATACTGAATTGTGAAATAGCAATTTTTATGTGAAATTTGTTTCTATGCCAATGATAGTTCCTGATCCTATTCCCCCTTTCCTTTTCTCTTCTCTTTTACTCCACTTTTCTTTTAACTTCTACAATACTAGACAAAACATACCAAAAAATGACTGCAAATGTTGTGACCTTGATTCTGGACCTTCCAAGACAATCAAATTGAGGTGTCAAATTCAACCAAAGTCAAATGTGAAGAAAATGACAAGCTCATACAGAATGCAAGTTGTTTTAAACAAGCTGCCAACAGGGATTTTTTAATTTAATTTAATTTAATATATAACATATTTTTATACTTGGTATTCAAGATTGTCTCTTTTTCTCCAATACTTTTTATACTTGGTATTCAAGATTGTCTCTTTTGCTCCCATACTTTTTTATACTTGGTATTCAAGATTGTCTCTTTTGCTCCCATACTTTTTTATACTTGGTATTCAAGATTGTCTCTTTTGCTCCAATACTTGTATGCACTTCTGCATTACAGTTATGACAACTTGCTGCCAACATATAGTATTGTCTTGTATTAGAAACACTATGTGAGAACCAGGATGATTTCAGGCTTTTTCGTTTATTCACTACAAACAAATTAATGTAGACAAAAGGCAATATATATATATATATATGTGTGTGTGTGTGTGTGTGTGTGTG